GAAAACATATTTATGTTTGTTACCATTAATAAGTTTCCACATAGCTTGTTGAGAGTTGCCAGAATTTTTTATAAACCTATCATTTGCATTAATTTTTGCAAGCTTGATGGCTTCCCTGTACTCTTTTCTAAGTTTGATAATGGTACTTCTAGGTGCAGCAATGGGATCGTTTCTATTTATTGCTATAATAAATTGAAGTCTCTCACGCATTTTTCTCAAAGTGTCATTGAACCAGTTTACTTTTTTACCTAGATTATTTTTATTTAGCAATTTAGATTTTTCTGGAAAAGAGATATTTAGGGAATTTAATAACACATCAATTAGCATTTTAAATTTTAAATTAATATCCAAACTTTCATTGTATACAAAATTAAAGTTGCAATTTAGCAAAATCTGGTTCATATTAAAGAGTCCTTCATCTGTGATAGGTCTATAACAAACTCTGGTTGCACAATTTGTGGATGAGTAAGCTATCTGAAAGGAAATACCTCTGTGGTCAGATGTGTGAGTGAGATCCACAGGTTTTGTGGTACCATCAATATTTGCGAAAACATCATCAAGACATCTATTACCTCGAGTATTAAATTTAACTTTTTTTGTAATATTGTAAGATCTAAAATAATTACAGAGTTTTAAAGCTCTGATATCTGTTTCATTAAAATGGACATTAAAGTCACCCGTAATTATAACAGGTTTATGACCATTAATTTTTTTAAGAGCTTTAGCCATAATGGTAAAGAATTTGTCCAATTCACCATCTGGAGTACGATATACAGTAATAAGCTGCACATTAGATTTATTTAATAAAATACCTGTAATCTCACAACTCACAATGCTGTTCAGAAGAGAGATTTTCAATATTCAAATGATTAAAACTTACGTTATTCCTAGTATATATACCTACACCTCCATGAGACTTGACCGTCCTGCAAAATCCAGAAACCATACGATAGCCTTTAATATTGACAGTATGTAGCTCATCAGGTAAAAGCCAGTGCTCAATAAGACACAAACAATCAGCTGAAATATCATTAATTAAGCAGAACTTCAAAATCTAGAAAAGAGTTACGTAAAGATTGAGCATTATAGTGAATGACATTTAAACATTTTTTAAATTTAACAATACTTTTTAAAGAGGATCCAGTTACATCGGCATCCTCCTCTTCACAAAAAAACTTAGATACCACTGCACCCTTTGGCCAAACATGTTTGTTCCAAGCTCTCTTAGGTTTTCTTGATTAATGGGAGGAGCAAAATTTAAAAATATCCAGAGGAGCAAAAAAAAAGAATATATACAACGCTGCATTATTCTAGCGTTTCTAAGCAAACCCATAGAACTGTAGCTAGATAGATGGAAGCGAAAGATATATGAAGGTATAAAAGATGGGCATATCTGCAGAAAAACAAATAATGAAAATATATGAACAACAAAAATTTCAAGCATTGCGAAAGTTCAAAGACTAAGATTGTTCGGACACGTAGCAGGAATGCTGGAAGGAAAGGTCCCCAAAGTATTACTGAAGCTGGCACAAAAAGGAAAGAGGACGATCACAAAGAAAATGGATGGAATCAATAAAATAAGACTTGGGATTGTTAGGAGTATAAAACTGGAGAAACATAGCACAAGATACAAAGAAATGGAAGAAAATCTTGGGCCTCTAGGGCCTGTTTGAGTTGATGTATACAGATTGAACGAAATAAATTCGGAACATAGGAATATAATGTATTTCGGCTCAATTCTGCTGTAGCTGGTTGGCCAACAAAAGATTGTCAAATAAATATATTATAAAAAATTCCATACTTCAGCGGGCTGCTGGATTCTGAACTCATACAAATTGAAAGCTACACATAAATCTACGATTTTATTATGCTGTCAAACCAGTTATAGTCCAGGAAATGTAGCATTTCGCCTCGCAATTTTTTCCTGCGGCGTGGATTGACTTGAAATTTAACAGAAGGTAGGTAATAGCCTAAGGATCAAAATCTAAATCGAACCAAAGTGCACCAAAGCCTAGGGGGTGGTTGCCACCCCATCTCCGGGGTGAAAATTTTTTTTACGTTTTAACTACAGGTTTTGATTAAAAAAGTGATTCTAAACAAAAAATGTGCTATACATTTCTTTTATAAAATGAAATTTTTCAAGTTATTCGCGATTGAAAGTAACAACTTTTAGACGAAAAAATCCACGTTTTTAATCGATTTTTCGCGAATAACTCGAAAATGGTGCATTTTATCAAAAAAATTGTGGAGAACAAATTTGTAGCTTTTAAAAAGACAAATACAATATCAATGTTCAGCGGTTTTCTTCAAATGCCAAATTTGAAAGATTCAAAGTCAAATATTGGGAAAATTATGCATTTTTGGAAGAAAACTCACAAAACCTTTTTTAAAGAGCATAAATAGACCTATCATAAAAAAATAAGGTCAATACCTCATTTTTTACGAAAAAATCGAGGAAAACAACACCCTAACCACCCCTATAATTAAAATCGATCTTCACCCTTCTGCAATTCCCTTTGTAGATGTATTGTTAATACGTCCAAGAAGTTTGACCCATTAAAAATGCTTAGTTTTAGAAAAAGTACAGCTTAAAGCGAGAAACGATTTACAATTTCATATTTTTTACCCTTCTTTTTTTAAATATGCCCGAAAATACTGAATATATGAAAAAAAATAAAAATTACCAAATTGTAGCTTTTTTAATGACTAAAATTACACTTTATTTAGATTTGTTGTACAATGAATATTTGGCGAGATATAGCCGTTTAAAGCATCGATTCACGATCAAGCACCATCTTTTTCGAGCCCTTTAAACTCACCCCATTTAAAAACCAAGGGTTCCAAAAAGATTTAATTTACAGATCCTTGTAGCTAATAAAAACCTCTACAAATCGTTTTTGAAGAAACACTCTATGGTTAAAAATTAAAGGAAATACGTTAAAAAAAACAGTTGATTTTTTTCCGGAAAATTCCATTAGTATAGTACAGTACATTTCGGAGCATAATAATCTACAAAACCGGTATATTAGCTAGTGGGGCGTTATACATTCGAAATTTTAAGCGTTCTTATTTTGAAATCCCATACAACAGAATAAAACATCTGCTCATATGTCTATGGCTTGGCAATGAAAATATCAGAGCAACAGATTGGGGATGGTATTCCAAAGATGGTTTGTTATTACCCGTACGCATGAACAAACAACCTGCACCCGATAAATTTTTGAAAATTATTTTTTGCCAATGCAAAAAAAGATGCGGCGTTTCATATGGGTGCAGAAAAGTTGGTTTATACTGTAACTCTACTTGTTCTGGGTGCTCAGGTGAAGGGTGCAATAACAGTCCACCAATAATTGAAGAAGATGAGGATGACATAGATCACGATGAAGATGTAATTGATGACGAATAAAATTAATATTATAATTGTTTTACCTATAAATGTAAATATTTTCAACTATTTATGTAAATGTATAAGAATATATGGTGCCTTTTTATGTTGATAATTTTTTTTGTATTTAATTCTACTTTTTTCAATTTATATCTTATAAATTAGTTTATAAAAACTGCAATGTTGTAAAGGGTGATTTTCAAAAGTTGAAAAGTTGCAAAATTTTGGCAAAAAATTGTTTTCACCTATAGCACTCATTGATTTTTAAGGGTTGAAAATATATGAATTTGTATTTTAAAGTATAAAAAACTCACTATTTAACTAATCCAAACCAAATTTCACTCATCTTAAGATTTGTAATATTATTTTACAATTTTTTAAAATTAAGGGTAGTTTTCACCCCTAAGAACAATCAGGGTTCACCGACATGGCATAAACTATAAAGCAGAGGGTGAGTTGAGCTTAATTCCAAATTTTTATGCAAATCGTTCCAAGGTGAAATCATTTTCTTCGCATTACTAATTTTTTTATATTAATCTCTAATAAGGGTCGTTTTTTAAGGGTTGAAATATGATGGAACTTTATTCAAAAGCACGAAACTATCATTATTTAATTAATTCAAACCAAATTTTACCCATATTCAGGTTTAAAATGTTATTTTATAATTTTTGACAATTAGGTGTAGTTCTCACCCATAAGAACAATCAGGGTTCGTCGACATGAGATAAACTATAAAGCAGCGGGTGAATTGAGCTTAAATCCAAATTTTTATCCAGATCGATCCAAGGCGAAATCATTTTTTTAGAATTAGTAATTTTTTACATTAATCTCTAACAAGGGTTGCTTTTTAAGGGTTGAAATATGATGGAACTCTATTCAAAAGTATAAAATAATCATTATTTAACTAATTCAAACCAAATCTTACCCATATTCAGGTTTAATATGTTATTTTATAATTTTTGACAATTAGGGGTAGTTTTCACCCCTAAAACCCTTCAGCGCACTTGGGTTCGATATAGATTTTGATCCTCGGGCTATTACCTACCTTCTGCTAAAATTTCAACTGGATACATGCAGGACGAAAAAATTGCGAGATTTTAACTTTTTTCGAGCTTCATTTCCTGAACTATTATCGCCTCCTTAGACAAACCCGTCTTACGCAAACAACTTTGTTGCGAGAAGATAGTTGAACGATATTTTATACAATGTCTATACCCAGGTATGGATTTATTTTTGTCCAAGTTTTATATTGGTCCACTATTTTAAATGCAGTTCAAACAGACATGTATTAAATTGTATGTTCCGTTTTAATTTGGTTCAATCTGTATATTATTGAATTGAGTTTTTTTTAATAAAACTATGATTATATATTTCCAGTATTTTTATTACAAAATTAAAAAATATAACAGTATAATGTAAAGAAATTAAGCATTTAAAATGTTAACATGAACATTATAATAATAATAACAATAACAGAAGAATCGCCAATAAAAAACATTTAGACAAGCAAAAAATTAGAGGGGAAGACAGTACAGCTTAATTTATATCATTAAAACAGTGATCAATGGGAAAAGAGGTATCTGGATCTCTTCTATTTCATTTAAAATATCTGTTATTACTTCTTTTGCGGATAGTCGAGATCTCGTCGATAATTATAGTAACGTTTAAATTTTATATTTCTCAAATTTAAATCATTATTTTTGACATTTTCGCTACAAGGACTTTTTACATGTTCTTTAGTAAACGACAAGGGATTACTTTTACTACTCTCTTCAGAACTGTCGCTATAATTAGCACGTCGCTTTTCTCTTAGTCGTTTCCTAAATTCTCTAGTCATCTTCCGTGGTTCATGTTCTCTTGTCTGCTGTTTTAACCATCCACTTCGCTTAAAATCTCTGCTATTACTTCTTTTACGTGTAGGTGAGATAGATCTGTGATCTCGTCGATAATTATAGTCGCCTTTAAATTCTATATTTCTTAAATTTAAATTATTATTTTTGTCATTTTTGCGAATAGGTCTTTTTGCACGTTCTTTACTAAACGATAAGCCATTACTTCTACCGCTCTCTTTAGAACTGACGCTATAATTAGCACGTCGCTTTTCTCTTTGTCGTTTTCTCAATTCGCTAGCCATCTTCCGAGGTTCATGTTCTCTTGTCTGCTGTTTTAACCATCCACTTCGCTTAAAATCTTTGCTATTACTTCTTTTACGTGTAGGTGAGATAGATCTGTGATCTCGTCGATAATTATAGTCGCCTTTAAATTCTATATTTCTTAAATTTAAATTATTATTTTTGTCATTTTTGCGAATAGGGCTTTTTGCACGTTCTTTACTAAACGATAAGCCATTACTTCTACCGCTCTCTTTAGAACTGACGCTATAATTAGCACGTCGCTTTTCTCTTAGTCGTTTTCTCAATTCTCTAGCCGTCTTCCGTGGTTCACGTTCTCTTGCCTGCTGTTTTAACCATCGACTTCTCTTAAAATATCTGCTATTACTTCTTTTACGTGTAGGTGAGATAGATCTGTGATCTCGTCGATAATTATAGTCGCCTTTAAATTCTATATTTCTTAAATTTAAATTATTATTTTTGTCATTTTCGCGAATAGGACTTTTTGCACGTTCTTTACTAAACGATAAGTGATTACTTCTACCCCTTTCTTCAGACTTGACGCTATAATTGGCACGTCGCTTTTCTCTTAGTTGTCTCCTCAATTCTCTAGCCATCTTCCTCGGTTCATGTACTCTTTTCTGCGATTTTAACCATCCACTTCGCTTAACATCTCTGCTATTACTTCTTTTACGTGTAGGTGAGATAGATCTTTGATCTCGATGATAATTACAGTCGCCTTTAAATTCTATATTTTTTAAATTTAAATTATTATTTTTGTCATTTTCGCAAATAGGATTTTTTGAATGTTGTTTACTAAACAACAGGCGATTACTGCTACCGCTCTCTTTAAAACTGACTCTATAATTAGCACGTCGCTTTTCTCTTAGTCGTTTCTTCAATTTTAAAAGCATCTCCTGTAGTTCAATTTCCCTTGTCTGCTGTTTTAACCGTTCTCTTTCAGTTTTTATTTGTTCCGCTTTTTTATCTGCTTCGAATTGTCTGTTTAATAAATCTTGCCTTTTTCGTTTAAATCGCTCTGCAATTCTCAGAGATGTACTTTGTTTTGGATTGGTGCGTATATTTGAGCTATTCCTTAAGCCAACGGTAACGTTTTCTGCTTTAGGTTTATGTTCAATATCACTGGAAAGTTTTGACGAAGTCTCGTCAGGCCGTCTTCTACCATAATATCTGGGTATAATCTTTGGAGAAACTACTACAGGTTTGATAGAACTGTGATCTACAGAATTTTTAATTAAATTATTTTTATCAAGATCAGAACTAGTACTACCACCTAACTTTAATTTAGATCTCGATCTGCTTCTCCTACTTGTATTATCTTTTGATTTGTTACAACCTCGGCCTTTACTTTTGGACCGCGATCGATGCTTTTTCATGCATGTTTTATTTTTAGATTTTGCTTTACTTGTAGAAGTAGCTGTACTACTGGATGAAGTTTCCTCTTCTTCCCCAAAGCATGTGATGTAAGTAATTTTTTCAGAGTTTTCTGGAGAAGGTGATCTAGAATTTGATTTATACCTGCTTTTAAGAAAATTGGGAGTAGGAGAAACCTTAGCTGCGTAGCTAAGAGGACTTAATGTTCTATTAGCTAATCTAATTTGTTTAAGGTATCTTCTTTCTTTGCGTGATTCTCTTCCCGAAAATAAAGCTATCTCTAGTTCTTCTTCTGTTATCAGCTTAACTTCATCCGTTTCTTTTAAGTCGTTAATTAAAAACAAGTAAAAATCATTTGAGCCCATACCATAACTACGACCATATTTATTCAAATCGTTAACTCGTGCAGGGTCCATGTTGAAACCGTTTACTTCCCAACCAACATATAACTTACTATCTAAGTTCTCTTCTTCTGATTCTTCCATTCCTCCAACCGCCATGCCAGTCGAATCTTCGTAATTGTATCCAATGGTAGCTCCAACATTTTTTTTACTCTTAATTTCGGTGTCTCCCCATTGTTCTTTCAAATGTAACTGGTTTAAAAATTGTTCCTCTGGTATACCTAAAAAGGAATTTTGAGCAATGACCCGATACCTCTCATAGTTAAGATTTTTTTCTTCTTGGGTGAGTTTTTCTTCGTTAGATTTTTGTAGCTTTGGTAAATCATCCAAATGGGCCCTGACATCAAATCTATCTATAAGATTGTCGCTATCTCCCTGCCATGGCAACATCCCAGCGTTATCAGCCGCTGCAGCTATGTCCTCGTCCAAATGAATTTCACATTGTCTGCCATGTATTTGTAAATATTGGGTTAGATCTGATTTTATCCTTCTGTTAAAGTCGCCTCCGTGTCGAACACTTCTTTTGTAGTCACGTAGCATCTTGATCCACCCTGAAAACAACAATATCAAATGTTAACAGAACGAAATTTGTTACCAAAATCTAAATGTAAAATGATTTTCACTGTTTATCTACATGGCTGTTATATTAACATAACATGCCCTTTGCTAGTAGTGAAGCAATAAGAAGTCAGGAAACTATATATATAGATATATATATATATATATATATATATATATATATATATATATATATATATTTATATATATATACATATCTATATATATATATATATATATATATATATATATATATATATATATATATATATATATATATATATATATAAATATAAAATTAATGTTTCTTGGGTTTAGGTTCAATAAAGATATGTTACATGTGGAACTAGATTTCATTTTCCATTGCAATCAATCAACGTTTCGGCAGGAAACCCTTGCTATTGTAAAATATGCTGATGCTGATCACGCTGACCACGTAAGGAAGTAAACTTTAAATATTTAAATTATTGCTGCATACCCAATATTTAAAGTTTACTTTAATATATATATATATATATATATATATATATATATATATATATATATATATATATATGATATATATATATAGATAGGTAAGAGCAAACATACTTTTAAAGTTCGTTGTTATCATTGTCATGAAATGGGGAATATTCGCTCAAAATGTCCAAAAAGATTGTCAAAAAATCGTGAAACTGCTAATATGAGTAATGTTGAAAATAAAGAAATTGCATTTCTTGGTAGTCACACAAAACAGGAAGTTGCAGTCAGCTGTGATTCAAATGTAATGAATAGTGTACATCTGGTTGTGGATAGTGGTTGTCCAAATCACCTGTTTATGTCAAAATACATTCAATTTTTGACTAATTCTATAGCTGTAGATAGACAAATAAATATAGCAAAAGTTGGTGAAACTGTAGTAGCAAAATTTCAAGGTAGTTTCTCAGCTATATCTAAAGAAGAACTTTCAGTTGCTTTGAATGATGTTGTTGTTTGTGACAATCTTTCTTACAATTTATTATCAGTAAGACAAATTGAAGAAAAAGGTTTTAGTGTGATTTTTGAAAATAAGGAAGTAAAAATAATGATGGGTGATACTGCAATTATTACTGGAAAATTGATTGGTAGTTTATATTTTATAGAATTGCAATTGTATTCAGATGTGGTTAATATTGTTCGAGATACACCTGAGTTGTGGCACAAGCGGATGGGACACTCTTGTAGATTTCCTGTGAGTTCAGTATGTGAGATATGCTTGAAAGGTAAGCAGACACGTTCTCCATTTTTAAAGAGCATCCCAAGTGACAGAAAAGCTCGACGCTTACTTCAATATGTGTCCACAGATGTGTGTGGAAAAATTAGCCCTTCTACTCATGATGGTAAAAATTATTATGTTTCATCCATTGATCATTACAGTCATTTTGGAATGTTATACCTTAAAAGAAAAGAATGAAGTGGAAACATGCTTTAGGAATTTTGTAGCCCTAACAATCTAAATTCAACCTGAAAATAGAGTATTTGAGATGTGATAATGCTGGGGAGAATAGTTCTAAAATCTTTAAAGATTTTTGTACTAGTAAAGGAATAACTATACAATATTCTGTACCCAGGAATCCAGAACAGAATGGATTAGCAGAAAAATACAATCGTACTATTTTAGATAAATCTAAATGTTTATTTTGGACAGTGGTCTTGACAAGTCATTTTGGGGAGAAGCTGTATTGGCTACTGTGTACTTAACAAATAGAACTCCTACAAGTACATTGCCCAATGACTGTACACCAGCTGAAGTTTGGTATGGTTATAAACCTGATATGAGCAAAATTAAATTATTTGGATGTAATGCTTATGCACATATTCCTGAAGAAGATAAATCTGGGAAGTTTGGTGAGAGATCAAGAAAATGTATTTTTATTGGCTATTGTGACAATGGATACCGTCTCTGGGACCCTCTAAAACAAGCAGTGTTTACATCTCGTTCAGTTAGATTTGATGAAACTTGTGAAAGTGAATCTCCAGTTCATGTGATGAGACACAGTGGTGTGGATGAGCAATGTATTACTGAACCTGTTAAAATTAAACCTGAAAGTAATACTACCTGGTAGTAATCAAAAGCATGAGATACGTAGAAGTTCAAGAGATACACGTATGCCTTCTTATCTTGATGACTATGAAGTGAGTATGATGATGGCTTTATCTGCTGGCTATCTACCTTCTGAATTACCTAAAAACTATACTGAAGCTGTTGTGATGGGGAATGGATCGAAGGAGGCCATATATAAAGAACTTTTGGCGTTAGAAAGCAACAATACCTGGACTTTGGTAAAACCTAAGATTGATGATGTAATCATTGATTCACGATGGGTTTTTTTTTTGAGAAAAATATTGATGGTCAGTTGGTGAAAAGAGCTCGATTAGTAACCAGAGGCTATAAGCAGCCAGCATTGGACAACGAAGACGTGTATGTACCAGTAGCTAGATTAACCACCCTGAGGGTACTGTTATTCATTGCTGTTGATCGTGATATGGATATTCATCAACTTGATGTGAAAAGTGCTTTTTTGAAAAGTTCAGTGTCTAGTGATGTGTTTTTAAAGCCACCGGATGGTCTTAGTGTTAAACCTGGTGTAGTATGTAAGTTGATAAAAGCTTTATATGGTTTACGAGAAAGCCCTAAATGTTGGAATACAACTATTAATAAGCATTTATGTAATTTAGGATTTAAAAGATCTAAGGTTGATCCTTGCTTGTATTTTAATGGAAAAACCTATGTTTTGATATGGGTAGATGATATTTTTGTTATTTCAATTTCTGAAGATGATGTAAAATTTTTAAAATCAAATTTAGAGAAAATTTTAGAATTAAGTGATTTATCAAATGAAACAAACATTGTCTTTTTAGGATTAGAGATTGAAAGGAAAGATAAGACTTTAGTTGTTAGCCAAAAAAATTTAGTTACAAAAATTGTTAATCGTTTTAACATGGTCAATTGCAAGACTAGTAAAATTCCAATGGAACTTAGAAACTAAATTGAACTTAGAAAAAGAAGCTCAAACTGATTTTAAAGTCCCTTATAAGGAGGTACTTGGTAGCTTAATGTATTTGATGCTTGGCACTAGGCCATATTTGTGTTTTACAGTTTCATTTTTTGGAAGATTTCAAAATAATTTTAATAGTAATCATTGGAACATCTTAAAAATGTAATTCGTTATTTGAGCTATACTAATGAGTTGGGATTAATATACAATAAATTTACTAAAAATGATCAAGTTTCTGTTCATGCATATGCTGACTCAGATTTTGCTAGTGATGCTAATGACAGAAAGAGTGTTTCTGGATATGTTATTCTTTGTAATAATAAAGTTGTAAACTGGTGTTCTACAAAGCAATCTGTAGTTGCTCTTAGTAGCAGTGAAGCTGAATATTTGGCTCTGTCTGCTTGTATGACTGAGTGTTTGTTTTTGGGTCAACTGTTAAAAGAAATGTTTGATTTTCAATATCCTATTAAAATTTTGGAGGACAACCAAGGTTGTATAAAAATGGCTCAAACTTCTGATACCAAACGCTCAAAATATATTGAAGTAAACATCATTTTGTAAAAGATATGGTAAATAAAGCAAATTTTGTTATTGAGTATGTTCCTACAAACAAACAGTTAGCTGATATTATGACTAAGGCATTGCCTGTTACTCAATTTGAATTATTGAGAAATTGTTTGAATGTTTCTAAAACTAATGTTTAATTTTACAGTTTATTAGTGTCTTGTAATTTTGTTTGCAGTTTGTACTTAATTCATTTGTACTTTTGTAGAATTGAGAGGGGGTGTTGCTATACAATTCAGTAATATAATTATTATATGTATGTTGGCAGCACATTTTACATTGTTGATGTATGATGACTTACTTGTCACTTGTCACTACACCTTACACTTTTACTTGTAAATAAAAACTTATTTCTTTTTTAATTAAATAATAATAGTGTTATTATTATTATTAACCTGCGTAAACATGCTGTAAACGTTATATTTGTTTTTTTTTAACTTTGTAGTGTTGTAAGCTAATTTACGAATAATTAAACTTTTGTATTAAAAAAATAAATATAAAAATCTAATATTAAAATTTACATTTTCGCAATTGGATTATACACATAATATAAATGAAATAAAAAATTGAAATGTGTTTTCTAATATGTTTATTTAATTACTACAGATATTAGATATGCTCGACACTTTAAATTATACATTTTGAGTGCGTTGCTTTTGGGGAAACGAAATATAATAGAAGGACCCGCCCGATAATAAAAGTTTATCATCTAGCTTTTAAAAAACAAAGAACGTGTGTTTTGTGTTGTAGTTTAGTTTGAATTTTCAGTAATCATTGAGACATTATTTGCATCGGTCCGGGATGCATATACAAAAAATACCGTCCGTTCAACAGATCTACTGAGCTTTACTACACTAATAAATCATTCTGTATATTATTATATTGCATTAGACATTAAAGAATATGTAGGAACAAGAGACGAACAAGCGTAGCACAGGAAAAAAGGAAATGGCAATATAAAGGGGATGTGGGAATGCCTATATCGAACACTCGATGAATAAATGGCTTTAAATAGATCACTGTCCTATTCCTGTGTAGCTATCAGCTATTTGTCAGTCTACTTCTATGACTTGAAAGGGTTGTTAAGAATTGAATTTACAAAAGTGATACAGCTTCTATCAGAAGTATTCTTTTGCTAAATACTCATAATATAAAATGTGTATTGAGAAGAGACGGCTCTGACCTTGGTTTAACAAACATTCAAACCAACAAATATCAAATACATTGTCCGATTAATTATCGTATTACATCTAATATGATTATAGTGAACAAAAATGAGTTCAAAGTTTTATACTAGAAAATCTACAGATGTTTTTCATCGATTGGGCTGATGAAATTGCAGTGTGATGTACAATTTAGATTTTCAATAATTACATTATAGAAACTTTATCTGAAAGTCAA